GGCATCGATGCCCAATCCATACTGTTCAAGATCCGAGTTCGTTGCGGCATTCAAGAAGGCAATCCAAGGAACCAAAGAGGCACTGCCGAAACGACTCACTGAGCAGATCAACAGCTTTCTACGCGTCCTGACTGCTTACGGATATGTAAGAGGAATGCATGTATAGCAATGTTGACATGTGATGTTGAATTTCTGTGTGTTCATATAGAATGGTACACAGAAAAAGATCGAGGTTTGAATTTGAATTTCCTTGTTCACATGGAGGTTTGCTATTCTCAAAGACCATTATGACTTCAAGGTTTTGAGACTTTGCCGGCTGGGTGCCCTTATGACCTGCACCATGTGTTACATTCTAGATTTCGCTAATGTCTTCGTCCAACTCGGATGAGTTGACAAACATGTCACCCTGCCAATTTGGTTTGTGTTTCTCCGAGAACCTCATGAACCATACACACGCACGCACGCACACACACACACACACAAAACCTCCATGGTGCTCTAGCTAATGAAGCTCTATTGAGGAGATTGTTGCCTTCTGGAAAGAGAGAACTTGTAGTTGTAGAATGAATGATGAGTAAGAACTAGAGACATCGTGTTGAGAAACTATATGCCCACATAAGAAAAAATTGGCAGTTTGCCAAGAATTGATGGAAAATACTGAAGTCCACTGCAAAATGTAACCCAAAACTGGTTGCTGTATGCACACCAATAGGCCGTTAGGTTGTATATTTGAGCTTTATACAATAGATATTGGGAGTCAAAATTTAACTTCAGTTGTCCCTCTCTAATCCGCCACCTTTTGCAGCAGCATTTTCTGCTGGATAAACAAGGGTGCTGGATTATCAAATCCTGCTCTCCAACCCGGCCCACCTACAAACATGTTTGTGTTAAAAGTCAAAACACAGAGATTTCTGTGTCAATCTAATTACTTTGTGGAATGCATGTCTATACAATGCATAGGATAGTTGCAAGGGTATGTTACATGTGTAGAAGGCTACATGATAAGTTAGTTCATGCATGTCATGCACTCACCAAACTAACATAGCTGTGCACGGGTACGGTATGCGATGTACGACTGTCGGAGTATAAAATCGAAATATGTACAGTGGGAGCGATTTGTTGCAGAAAATCGCTACGGGAGCCGCAATTCAAGTGCCGGATTAAAACGTCAAAACTGAACTGAAAAATCCGTTTCGCCGAAAAATGGGCTGGTTTGCAAGGGTTCTGGATAAACAAGTGCCGGATAAGAGACAAGAGAGGGAAATAGACGTTTCTTTGTACTTGATCTACATTTCTGTTGTGTTTATTTGTACGTGTGTGTGTGTGTATGTGGGTGTGTGTTTGTGTGTTTGTGTGTGTATGTGTGTGTATGTGTGTGTGTGTGTATGTGTTTGTGTGTGTGTGTGTGTGTTTGTGTGTGTGTATGTGTGTGTATGTGTGTGTGTATGTGTGTGTGTGTGTGTGTGTGTGTGTGTGTGTGTGTGTGTGTGTGTGTGTGTGTGTGTGTGTGTGTATGCGTGTGCATGTGGTATGCCTTTGATACTGCTAAAGGTCATCACATTCCCAGAGCTGAATGATCTGGTGGTTCATCAGCCTCGCTGGCTCCTGCAGGACGTGATCGGGTTTATGTACTCGTCCAACGTCTTCCCCCTCCGCCCTGATGGCATTGCCAGGGAATACAAGATGAGTGAAGAGGAGTTCGTCCGTTCACTGACTTCATTCGCCAAAGTAGGAGAAAAAGCTCCGCTCTGCGTGCGTATGGTTCTACAGCTCGGCTTGTCCATCCGCTATCAGAAGGATATCCTTGCTCTCTCCCTGTTTCCCGAGTGCACACAGCCATTGAAGGTGCACAGAGCCTTCATGACCTCACAAGTGATGGTAGGTTCTGTGTACACCTGCAATGGCTGTGTGCCATTCTCATCTGGTCTCATTGTTCAATGCCAAGCACGTGTATACGACTACTCCGCCTGCTTTTTCGCCAGTACTGATCCCATGTTCTTCAAGAACACCATCATTGTCCACCCGTATCCGCACACAACAGCGCTGATTGTGTTTTCGTCCGACCGTCAGCGCTGTTGTATTGCAGTGACGTCCAGTCGCGGTACGTACCTGCAAGTGGTTCACCACGTCCACTGGTTATTTCAAGATCTCTTCCTTGACCTACTGAAGAGATACAGTCGTGGTACTTCGGTAGAGCCCACAGTACTCAGCCTGTGCAGCATGCGTCAGCTTATCCAGCAATCGGCTTCACCAGCTGCCATCTGTCCAGTGGTTGCTTCCTACCCGTCCGAAGCCGTCATTCTTGCCGCAAGCAGTGTGCAAAGCAAAGATGTCAAGGACGCCAGCGGTGTGTTCGTTGACTCGGTGCAGGATCTTCATCACGTTCCTGCCACGCACGTCAGTATGCTTCCTGCCACATGTACTGATCGCCTGGAGAGTCTGCGAGATTCCGCATTCCTGAGCGATCTCCAATCAAGCCTAGATGTGAGTGAGAGGGAAATCAGCCGGCTTGGTGGCCCCCAATCAGTGTCACCCGCTGGACCCAGTCGGCTGAATGCCTCGCTGGTGTTGTTGGCATGGTGCCGACAATCTCATCGTCACACATCTACTGTGCTATACAGCAGGTTAGCTCAGCACTGCTTTTCTTCACCATTCTCCATTTTCTACCGAGAGATCTGCAGGATGCTGGTGGAGAATGAGAACATGGTGAGCGGAATAAGAATTTTTAAAGTTTTCCGTAACTATGAATCTCTGCTGTCAATATTCATAAACAAAATTACAAATTTGCTTGAATGAGAACGGTGCGTGTTTTGTTTGATCATATCAAAATTGAATATCATGAACTTGTAGTTTGTATTCTTCTCCTTATGAAGCAAGAAGTTTTAGATGATATCAGTCATTCGCAACAATGCATTTAAGATTATATCTGTTTTCACTTGGTACAATTTCTATAACTAGATTTCACTTGGTAAAATGTCCAGAACAACCTTGGCTAGACTACAAAATAATTTAAGTTTTCTAGCCTCTCAAGGAACCTAAGTTATGCAAAGCTAAGTGTGTGTGTATGTGTGTGTGTATGCGTGTGTGAATGTGTGTGTGTGTGTGTGCGCGTGCGCGCGCGCGTGGGTGTGTATGAGTTTGCATGTTTGTGTGTGCATTTGCATACATGTGTGTGTACATGTGTGTGTGTACATGTGTGTGTGTACATGCATATGTGGGTGTGTTGGTGTATATGTATGTGCACGTGTGTATTCTCATGAAGCTGATGGAAGCATTCCCGGACATCATCACCTATGAACAGCGGCAGTTGAAAGAGCAAGAACGTCTTCGTTGCCAGGCCGACAGTGAGTGCATTGTGCATTTCCGCTATCAGGAAGCCTGTACTATAAGCTGTGTGCCCACCAAATCCAGACAATATCCATCTCCATTCTTTTTAAACCAATTTAGCTCCAAAATCTGATATTAAACCGGCCTGAAGTGTATAATTGTTTGGTATGCTCCACATTTAGCTTAAAAACTACATAAAGACTATTAGGATTAAAAGCATACAGTACTAATTGGAAAAGCAGTCAATGCGTAAAATACGCAGCAAACCTTTAATTTCAGGAGCTTTAACCATTTCCCATTGTCAAAATCTGAATGTAATGATGGTTTTCCGTATTGATTTATTTGTTTGTTAGAAACAATGGAGAATACTTGCACTCATGTTTATACACAGTCTACAGTCTAATGTGATAATAGAGAGGTTCCGCACTACGTAAAGTTGAGCAACTTTACGTTAGTGGGTGGGAAAAACCCGTGAATTTGCGAGTTTGCACTCCACTTACGGGAAGTTGTCTACGGAGAGTACGTAGATAGGGCTCTGATAACGTAGCTGGTCCGTAAGTGGATTGGGATACAAATTTATGACTCTCTACCCATGTCGATCTGGTCGTACACTGCCGCGTTTGGAGTTGCCCAGGGCAGCTACGTGATTTGAAAACTCTGTATGGCGGAACCCAGATGCGCATGCAGTTTACGTAAGACTTTCCGTAGATTGACTACGTTTTTACTAACGTAATTACGTTATGCGGAACCTCTCTAATATCAGCGTTACTGTTCTATAGAAAATATACTTGTAAAAAAGACCAAGGAACTACAAGTTTGGACTCGGATGAAGAGCCAGGGATAAATTTATAGGAAAGAAGAATGGACCAATCGACTCAGTGTCGTGCAATATTATGGCATGAGCTGATTGTTTAGTAACTGCCAGTGGTGTTAGTGGAGCGGATTATGGCATAATTTGTACTACTGTACCAGTTGATTGATCTGTTGATTGTTTTCTTTACTATGAACTACAAGTTCAACTACAAGAGTCGATCACTAGGGAGTGTACAGGGTATGTGTTATGTTTGTCTAAATGTCCTCTAACAGATGTTCCATTGGCGGATGAAAGGTTCTCGACTGCACCCAAAACGTCATTTCTGGGCCAGAATCCCTGGTGAATATATCATTTCTCTCAAGTTGGTTTCATTTCTCATAGTGATGAATGGATGTTAGTGGAAATTCCTCTTAAGAACTCCACTGTACTCTGCAGTACCTATGAAGTGTACATTGTATTCTGCAATCACATCTGTTACTATGGTTAATAAACAGACATTGGAAAGTATGTATTTATGACAATGGTTTTCATCTCTACTTCTGTATGTGTGTGTGTGTGTGTGTGTGTGTGTGTGTGTATGTGTGTATGTGTGTGTGTATGTTTGTGTGTGTGTGTGTGTGTGTGTTTGCGTGTGCGTGTGCGTGTGTGTGCGTGTGCGTGTGTGTGTGTGTTTATGTTTGTGTGTGTATATGTTTGTGTTTGTATTTGCCTGTGCGTGCCTGTGTGTGTGTGTGTATGTGTGTGCGTGCGCGTTGTTGCGAGCGAGCCTGCGCATGTGAATGTGTGTGTATGATGTTATCGCTATGCGGGTATGCGTGTTTCTGTGTCTATGTATTTGATGTGTTGTTTTGATTTACAGTATGGGAATGCTACGATCTCACCTCCATGCAATGCACGTTACGGATAAGCTGATCGTGGACTCTGATCACTACACTCTGGTCCAGGGTGAGTCCATTTTACTTCACAATCTCTGCAACTTCATATTCATGATAATCACTTGCCTGGGCAGAACTTCCTGCGATTTACAACACGTTTTAAGAAATCCTTAAACGACTTTCATGCATAACATTTGCTTTCTCTCTGTTTGTCTTAACAGAGGCTGAGGTAGCAGGAGAATTGCTCACATCAACAGTAGCACCAGCAGCGCCAGCACCCACACCAGCAGCAGCACCAGCAGTAGCACCAGCAGCAGCACCAGCAGCAGCACCAGCAGCAGCACTAGCACCAGCAGCAGCACCACCAGCAGCAGCACCAGCAGCAGCACCAGCAGCAGCACCAGCAGCACCACCAGCACCACCAGCATCAGCACCAGCAGTAGCACCAGCAGCAGCACTAGCACCAGCAGCACCAGCACCACCAGCAGCAGCAGTGGCACCACCAGCAGTAGCACCAGCACCACCAGCAGCAGCACCAGCAGCAGCACCACCATCACCACCAGCAGCAGCACCAGCAGCAGCACCAGCAGCAGCACCAGCAGCAGCACCAGCAGCAGCACCACCAGCAGCACCAGCACCAGCAGCAGCACCACCACCAGCAGCAGCAGCATCACTGACTGTAGCAGAGAGTGAAGGTATGAGACAGATAGTGATACTCATAATGATATTATAGTTATGTTTATTTATCAGTAGTTTTTTAGCACTTTGTGACGGGTGTGATGTACTCACCTGGCACAGCTTAGTAGTGATGGATCTACACCTTGATTCTAGACGGTGATGGTGCTCATGTACATGTGAAAAACTCAGTCTCCAGCCAGGTCACATTTCTTTATTAATTTTTATTTCTCACCACCCTCTTCACATCCACCTCCGTTCTTCTCCTCCACATCCATCTCTGCTTTTCCCAACTCTACTTTCCCTTTTCTGATATCCGCATCCACTTACCCTATTACCATCCTTGAATCAACTATGCACAATGCATAAACAGACGATGGTGGCAAGAGAATGAGTGGTTATCACCAGCATGTTACAGCTTAGAGTGTGCTGTGTGGATAGGCATTAACCTCCATTTCTCCCACTGGGTTTAAACTATCATTTCTATGCAAATCCTATGGTGTTGTGTTGGAGTCTTTGCATCATTCTGCTCTGCTGTAAGATCACATGACTCCTTCAACTTGTTTACCTTATCCTGACCATGTTCCAATTCATTGCACTCCCGACTCATCACAACCACGCGCTCTTCAGCCGAACCATTCAGACACCAGCAAGGACACTTCCGTTGAGAGATAATATTGTTCTACGCCTCTAGACAGCCGTTTCGCTCCCTGTCAGAGCTCATCAGTAGAGGATGATAATGATGATATTGGAGGAATGATCATTCTTATGCATCAGAAATGGCGCAAGTGCGCGCTCATTATCATCCTCTACTGATGAGCTCCGACAGGGAGCGAAACGGCTGTCTAGAGGCGTAGAACAATATTATCTCTCAACGGAAGTGTCCTTGCTGGTGTCTGAATGGTTCGGCTGAAGAGCGCGTGGTTGTGATGAGTCGGGAGTGCAATGAATTGAAAATATGGCCGAAAGCTCTGTCGCAATATTTAGTTCTGACCATGTTCCTCCTAGGTATTTATGACAAAATGCACTCATAGAGTACTGCAAATGAACTATACGTATTGTGTGCCTCTATTTCTGGTTTCTGTTTACAGCTGATCCATTTGAGGACGACTCATTCACCGCACATATCCTACCAAAGTTGTACAAGATATCTTGTGATGCACTGCGGCAAAGCGTTCAGGCACAAGGACTCCTGAGTGGTTTTGATCCCCTTCCGGAACTAAACCGTATTGAACAATTTGAAGGTGCAGAGAAGCATCACTTGAAGTTGATTGGATACATCCGTGCTGGAGAGCGAGATGCATACAGAAAGCTGTGTGCAGCAGTGGGAAACCTCAACTTCCAAGATCTGCACAACACCATGCTACGGCTACTGTAGTAGGAACTCTAGTCATGATGTGGTAAGTTTGTTGTGTGGTTTTGTATTTCTCATACATTCACCTCTACATGTATGTTACAGGAGCGGAGCAAGCAGATTTTCATTAGTCTGCCCATACCATAGTATTTGGTAATTTGTGTCTGATATAGCGGGTATACATACATGTTACTACTCACCAGTCAACACATTCTGATGGACAAACAGTTGGTCTACCCATGACCTAACCAACCGGACCGCTTCCGCCACCCATGTGCTAGTGTGTGTGTGTGTGTGTGTGTGTGTGTGTGTGTGTGTGTGTGTGTGTGTGTGTGTGTGTGTGTGTGTGTGTGAGTGTGTGTGTATGTTTAGGGGGTGGGCAAGATTTTGGCTCGTACAGAAGTAAAAAATCAACAATTCTAATTCATGGCGAAAGCAGCGGTGCTATAAATAGATCTCGTACTTGACCGCAGGTCTATCTCCACCTGATCAAATCTTTCCTTGCCAAATTGGCAAGGGATGGCTGACCTCCACACTGCATTACGTTCTACCAAACCGTCCAATGACTAGCTGGAGCTCAAGTTGCTTTGGTTTCTGCTGTAGCATCGCGTCAAATGGTCAACAAAATGGTGTGTGTGTGTGTGTGTGTGTGTGTGTGTGTGTGTGTTTGTGGCTTAGTGTGTGTGTGGGGGGGGGGGTGAGGGCGTGGGTGTGTGGGAGTCTGGGCGCTCAAATGTGGGAGGCTGTGTGTTCATGTGTGGGTGTGTTTTTGTATGTTCTTGTGTCTGATTTGTGTGTGTTTGTGTGCATCTGTTGGTGTGCGTGTGTGTACATCGTGTGTGTGTGTGTGTGTGTGTATGTGTTCATGTGTATGTGTGTGTGTGTGTGTGTGTGTGTGTGTGTGTGTGTGTATGTGTGTATATGTACATGTACATGCATAATGTCTGTTACATCACTGTTCAGATTGTGCAAGACTGCTTTCTCCCAGCACTCCATGTACATCACTGTTCAGATTGTGCAAGACTGCTTTCTCCCAGCACTCCATGTACATCACTGTTCAGATTGTGCAAGACTGCTCTCTCCCAGCACTCCATGTACATCACAACAGTCATACTCACGCAGCCGACATAACTCGTTGCCCGTATCCCGGTATGCTTGTTTGTGTCGTTCTTCCCCTGCCACTGCTCTGCCCTATGCAACGCGTTCTTTTTCCTCATCTACACATGTATCATATTGTATTCTTGAGTTGCTTGCTCACCAGTTGTGGATATGCTCCATGTGTATTCTTTTGAAGGTGACCGTCCTTGAGAATATTTTCTCAAACAGCAGCTCCACCACCTCTGCGCCCACCCCCTCCCCATCTTCCCTCCTCTCTCCCAATCCCACACGCGCACACGCGAGCATGTGCGCACATACATAATTTGTTCTGTTGTTTGCTGTGCTTGCCAAGACTGTTGGTATGTTTCGATCGACTGTGTTTTTTTACTAATGCATGTAAATATGTACATGTATACATAAATGTTCCTACTATTTAAAATTCAATTTGGTTTGCTCTAGAGCATCTTTCTTTTGTTCTTATTTCTTTCCAGCTACATCTCTACATAAATGTCCCTAGTCTTTAAAATTCATTATGGCTTGCCCTAATGCACCTCTATTTGCTGTGACAATTGCACAGTATTATTTTCATTTTTCACTTGACTTTGTTCACATTTTTGCATTTGCGCACATACATAATTAATTTTGTTCTATTGTTTTCTGTGCTGGCCAAGACTGATCGTATGTTTCCATCGACTATGTTTTTTGAATATTTTCTCAAACAGCAACTCCCCCACCTCTGCCCCCACCCTCCTCTCTTCCAATCCCACACGCGAGCACGTGCGCGCATACATATCTTGTTATATTGTTTGCTGTGCTTGCCAAGACTGCTGGTATGTTTGCTAATACATGTACATGCCTGTACAGGTATACATAACATGTTCCTACTCTTGAAAATTCTATTCGGCTTACTCTAGAGCACCTTTCTTTTGTTCTTATTTTTATTGCCACATCTGTACATAAAATGTCCCTAGTCTTTAAAAATCATTTTGGCTTGCTCTAACGCACCTCTCTATTTGCTGTGACAATTGCACAGTATTCTTTTCATTTTTCACTTGACTTTGTTCACATTTTTGCTTCGGCTGAGACTTCTGTTGACCCTGTATACATGTATTGAACTTGGCAGCTGAACTTCATCTCCTTTCCTTGTTTTTTTTAAATGCCTGAACAGATCATGACTTTTGTCACTTCTCCACTTTGCGTGCTTATTTCAGAAATTTATGTGATGGAAATCACACACATGTAATTCTAGGCTTGCATTGTTTATAGTCACTGACTCCAGTGTCTGCTCCAGGGCCGAGTCAGCCGGAGCGAAGGACCCGTTTGGTGTGTGTGGAGGGGGAGGGGTACTTGGACCCGTTTGAAAAAAGAACACTGGGTCACCATGGTCACTTGTGACCTGATTGGTAGATGTCCATGTGCATGTTGAGTAGGTACATGTAATCGCCATAACTGGCATAAGTCACGCACCGTGTCTGTCCTGGAACAGAAAATGTGCGACTTATCGCGAGTGTGCGACTTACATGTACATCAGATTCTGTACCACGTCAAGTACTACAAGTTCAAGTAGATCTACACTGTCTACCTATTCGCAGCTGGCTGAATCCAGAACCACTGCTGCTAGGTCAACAGAGCATGTTTATCCGCTAAAGTAACACTTAGTTCAGGAGAAGATCTCGCGACAATCATGTGTTGTTGCGAGGTCAAAATGCTACATGTACAGTTGCAAGTCACGTGGTCTGGGTAGTCAATTCCCGACGCAGTAGCTAGTACACAACCTTCTAGGTTTCACACCTAGTAAACCGGTACTTCATCACCTATGGTTATGTTATTCATTTCGAAAGAAAATGATTTTTTTTTTCAAACTTTGGAGCAGGGTGCAGGTTTTCGCGCTCTGAGGCTCCCACAGTTTCTCGCCAGGAAACCGGCATCAGGCCGGCCTGGTTTCAAACATTAGGTATAGTAGTAGTAGTAGGAAACTAGGTAGACATCGGATAGCTTTGGCCTACCTCCGCCATGCCTCCAGCAAAAGCTGCCGTTCGCGGGCTGACGGATTCGGAGGTAAAATTGTTGTGCTCCCTCCCCGGGATCGAGTCTTCGATTTTAGACGTAGTAAAGACGCTGGCAACATTTGTGACGGAGTCCGCAGACCGCGAGACACGACTAAAGAATAGGATCGATGATTTATCGAGGCAAATTGCAGGCCTGAACGAGGAGGTTGTCGCCCTCAGGGAGTCCGCCATTGTCGCAGCAAGTGCTTCTCCCCTGACTCCTTCAGCAGTTGCCCACAACCAGCACAGCCAGCGTACGATGGAGAGTACAGCGGGAAGGACCAGCAAGCGTACCCGTACTCGCGCAGGCCAGGCTGCCACGTGTACCACTGATGCAGACGAACACCGTAGCACTTCCCGTAGCGTGGGTGACCCTGCCAGTGACCATGAAACGCCAACGGAGGATGAGGACAAGTCCCAGGCAATTGAGCGGCCCACTGTCAAGCCCAAGCCACTGAAGCTAGAGCCAATCACGGATGACACGTGGAAACTGGTATCAAACGAACCTCACAGAGTGAAGAAAGCCGTAATCTATGTGGGCAATTTGAACTCACATAGCAGTGAAGAAAGTGTCAAGGAATTCACTGAGCAACGCTCTGCAGCAGTAAACAAACCGGTGAAGGTTCACCAGTGCAGCATACACACCACAGAAGATGGGAAAGTGTCTGCCCGCTTGATGATCGATGCGACTGACCTTGAAATCGCCACTGCTCCAAACTTTTGGCCTCGCCCACTGTACGCGCGGGTTTGGCGCCACCGTGAGCGTCCGAAGGGGGACACCTTGTCCGGCTCACACAGTGACACTCTCAGTGATACTCCAAAGGGGGACACCTTGTCCGGCTCACACAGTGACGCTCTCTCCGAGTCCTCCGACACTCAAGCTCAAAGCTCCAATTAGACCCTTTCGGATCCTGCTGACGAACACATTTGGACTACTGAGTAAACTTGGTGACTTTCACCATGCTGTACACGTTCACCAACCTGACATTGCCATTGTCACAGAGAGCAAGCTAACCCCTGAGAAGGCTACTGATTACGAACTGTCCTTGCCTGGGTACTACTCCCCACTGCGGAAGGATCGAACAGCTCATGGAGGAGGAGTTGCGGTTTGGGTTAAAGCCAGTCTGGCATTCCGAGAACTCGATGACATCCAGGTCGGTAATGAGGAGCTAATATGGCTGAGTGTCAGAACTGTGGATAAGAAGCAGTGGCTGTGTGTGCTGCATATCGCTCTGGCTCCTGCCACGACAATGACATCAGTACCCTTGAAGCCATCAGTGCTGGCATTGACCTGGCCCGTAAATCTTGTCAATATGTGGTATTGGCTGGAGATTTTAACGTACACAACGTGGATTGGCTCGGCAGCACCAAGACAACTCATGCAGGTGTGTACACTGAAGACATGTGTGCTTTTCACTGCTTGGAGCAGCAAGTGCATGAGCCCACCAGGGGCCTTAACCCACTCGACTTAATAATGACTGACCTACCGGGAGATGCGACCGTCAATACCTTAGCACCTCTGGGAAACTCTGACCATGCCTGTGTCCTAGCTGACTTTCATGTAAGCAAAGCAGAGGAACCACCAGTGACCAGAACTGTCTGGCGTTACCAACGCGCAGACTGGGACAGACTCCGCCACTTCTTTAGAACAACAGATTGGCAGTCCACTGTCAGTGATGATCCTGATGCAATGTGTATGCACTTGACCCAGAATATTCTGGAAGGAATGCGCCGATACATACCGTCTAAGCAGTTGTGCATGAAACCATCTAACCCCTCTTGGTGGACACCGGAATGCACTCAGGCTGTAGCACAGAAACAAAGAGCATGGAGGAGACTCTGCGCCGACCGGTCAAGTGCCCAGCTGCAAGCCCGTTACAATGTCGCCAAGCACTCGGCTAACCATTGCCTGGCAACTGCCAAGCAGGCATTCACAGCAAGCCTAGCGCAGAAGTTAGCCTCTGGGTGCATGGCGTCTGGTGAATGGTGGCGAACCATCAAGAAGGCCTCTGGCCACGGAAACAGCCCATCCATACCTACTCTCCGCAGCATCGATGGTACGGAGCACGACACCAACCGCAGCAAAGCAGAGTGCATGGCCGAACACTTCGCCAACAAATGCAGTCTAGGGGCAGACGACCTATCCGCTCCATTTCCTTACGTCCGACCACGTACTGACCGCAACCTCTGCACCGTCCGGTTTCGCGAAACCACAGTCGAGCGAACTCTCCGCCAGCTCAACCCCACCAAGGCCACTGGTCCAGATGGGATACCTGCCCGGGTCTTGAAAGCTTGCTCTGCAGAATTGGCACGGCCGCTTTCAAAACTATTTACATGCTGTCTTCGCTCCGGTATCCAGCCACAACAGTGGAAGGTTGCAAACGTAGTTCCAGTCCACAAGCGCAAGTCTAAATCGTCGCCATCAAACTATCGACCAGTGTCGTTACTGAGCATCCTCTCCAAGGTCATGGAGACCATAGTCAACAGGGCAATGAGCAACTTCATGGAGACGAATCACGTCCTGTCAGAACGGCAATTTGGATTCCGTCGCGGCCACAGTGCAGCAGACCTGCTGACTGCTCTCCACCACCAGTGGGTGCACACCGCCGGAGATAAAGGAGCTTCTCGAGTGCTGGCCATCGACATTGCTGGAGCATTTGACCGGGTGTCTCACACTGGTGTGTTGCACAAGGCTAGAGTGTATGGCATCTCGGGAGACCTGCATCGGTGGCTCCAAGACTACCTCTGCAACCGCACACTTCAAGTCCTCATCTCCGGCCAGACATCAGCCAGACGCCCAGTTAAGGCTGGGGTGCCACAGGGCAGTATCCTGGGCCCCACCTTATTCTTGGTCTACGTCAACGACCTTGAAGACCACCTCCCAATCGGCTCCAACCTTGCCTCATTCGCCGATGACACAACCCTATACGCCGAAATTGCAACGCTCGCTGCTGTTCCTGACAACGCTAGAGTACTCCAGGCTGCTGTCGACCTAGTATCCAGTTGGGGCTCGGATTGGAAAGTGCAGTTCGAGCCAGCCAAATCTCAGGCCCTTACAATTTCCCACCATCGTCGGGACTGGCCAATACCCCCCATTGTCTTCAATGGAACTCCTGTCGAGGAGCAGCCCTCCATCAAAGTACTCGGCGTCACGTTTGACCATCAGCTAAAATTCAGCCAGCATATCCGAACTGTTGTAGTCCGAGCAACGCAGAGACTTGGAGCCTTGCGCAAGGCATTTCACGTGCTGACTATTCCTGCCCGGCTTCGAGCCTACAAAGCCTTTGTCCGGCCGGTTATGGAGTACTGCCCAATCGTCTGGATGGGGGCAGCTCCTTCCCACTTGAATCGGCTGGACTGGGTGCAGGAGCGAGCCATCAAGGCAATACATCCGCAATGCTGGCTTCCTAGCCTCATAATTCGCCGCAGCATCGCTGCCCTCTGCCTCCTGTATAAAGCCCTTTGCGATAATTCTCCTGCTCTTCTCTCGAAAATGGCTCCACCCCCGACACACCAACCCAGGACCACACGCCTCACCCGCCAGGCTGTACGACTGTCCACCGCGCATCCCCATCAGTTACAGAATGTTCTTCCTGCCAATTCCCGGAACAATGTGAGCCGAGCCTTTCCCCACTCCGTCATCCCAATTTGGAACCAGCTGCCTACCTCTATCATTCCCCACCCATTTCACCCAAAGAACATCCAAAAGTTCAAGACAGCAGCTTATCACCATCTCCTCAGAACGAACTGGCACTGGGCCACTCATAGCATACGCGAGTAAGAGGGTACAGTGTCCTACCCTGCTTGGACATACATGTAATCTCTCCTCACGGACAGTCTCCTCTTGAATTTAAAAGTCTAACAGCGTTCACATCAATATTCAACTTATTCTTTTGCTCACTGAGCAATACAATCTTTCCATTTTCTTTCTTCTGTTTTCTTTTTCAATTTAATCCTCCCCACCCAATATCCCTTTGGTGCGTCCATGGAGCTATGAAGCCGAGACCTCTGGTCGCCGGAGCTTAATGGGCCCCACCATCACACTCCATCATTCACCCCAGTGTCTGGAGATATGTGGATTTTGTAGAAAAAAAGAAAAAAAATTCACTTTAGTCGATCTTCCTTCCACTTCAGTTCTAGTGGCCATGATTTAGCAGGAGCGGTCAGGTATTGATGATGGTGGACGTAGTTATGAGGGTGACGAGTCATATGAACTGTTTG